TTTTATTATTATAGGGTGGTTGTGTACACACACTGCCAACACACATTTCAGTTCAAACAACTTGTAAACATGCATGTAGCATCCTATGACCCCTTTAATAGTCTTAGTCACATTTTAGTCATTTGAGTCTTTCATAGTTTTAGTCAACGAAAAGTCATTGCATTTTTGTCAACTTTTAGTCATTACTTTTAGTCAAACTGCAGTTACCAACATTTATTTTGGTAGCTATTTTATATGTAGTCTTCAAACAAAAATAGTCATTAATTCTTCTCTCTTTAGACCAAATCAATTAAGCTTATGAGAAATTTGAATCAAGGATTGAATTTGGAAAAACTTTAATAAATGATGACAATTTTCATTTTGGGGTTAGCTATCCCTTTAACAGTAGTGAAAAGGGAGCAACTTATAAAAAATATATGTTCATATATAATATATATAATTTATAATTTTTGAAAAAGAAGCAGAATAAGACTAAACAAATACGAAAGAGATACAAATTAAACTCATTTTTCAGATACAGTAGGTTTACTTAACATTTATTTAACACCTTTTCTTGCTTAACATTTATGACACTAGTACTTAATTAGGAATGCTGTCCCTTTAAGACGGAAGGCATGCATGTAATACTGAGACAAGTTCAGTTTTCACCCACCTGTTTACGTTCACTTAATCCATAACTGTCTGTATTTATGTGAATACTCTACACGATAGACATTTGGACTGCTGTGTGTGTATTTGAGCACTGAGAACTGATATAACTGTCTGTATTTATGTGAATACTCTACACGATAGACATTTGGACTGCTGTGTGTGTATTTGAGAACTGATCGCGCGCTGTATATGAGAACTGAAGAAGTGGAGCGTGTGCGAGAGAGAGCACTTCTATCAGCGCAATTCGTCTATTCTGCCTTCACTAACTTTAAATTAATCGACAATGAATTGTGACTCCCGGGAAAAACGGGACATCTGGACTCACCCTATCCCTAACAGTGTTGGGGAAAGTTACTTGTAAAAGTAATGCATTACAATATTGCGTTACTCCATTAAAAAAGTAACAAATTACGGTACTTAGTTACTTTTTATGGAAAGTAATGCGTTACGTTACTTTTGCGTTACTTTAAAAAATCTGGACAGGGCTTGCTTGTTTTTTTTTTTAAATAAAAAGGTTATATTTTCGGCAAATATAAAAGCCTTTTCACACCAAAAGTTAAATGAATAAGCCTCAGGCTGAAGGGAAAGAAAATGTACGTCCGTAAAGTAGAATGCAGAAGAAGAAATTTAAACACACTTCAGCAATAAAAATAGACACACAAATGTTTGTCTAGAGTAATTTTTGCTTATTAGTATGGTTGAACTGGATCATCGAAGGTCAGAAGCAAAGACATTGTTAATAGAATGGGATTAAATACATAAAGGATATTTTGTGTTGTTTAACATTTAATTATTGCAGGTTTGCGTCATATTCTGAGTTGTATTATTTGTATTCATTTTGAGGAATACTGAATCTGTTTGTTTTTTTTGGGAGTGAGACGAATTAATGCATATTCATATTTATTTTATAACTACAGTAACATCTTCTGATTTCTCTCAACATGGGGACAGGAAAGCTGTCAATCAATAAATTGGAAGAAAAAGTAACTTGCGTTACTTATTTGAAAAAGTATAGAGTATAAAAGTATACTCAGATATTCTCTTGTAAATTAAAAAGTAATGTGTTGCTTTACTAGTTACTTGAGAAAAGTAATCTGATTACGTAACTCGCATTACTTATAATGCGCTACCCCCAACACTGATCCCTAACCCTTCGAGTGCTGAGGCCATTGTTTCAGATCGCTAGTTCGCATTTTGGTAACCTATCCATCCACTGGAAAAAGTTTTAATTAAGAGGTCATTGTACTATAAAAACATCCTTTAAGTTCCAGAACTCAAAGCTTTCTCGTTAGTCTAAAAACAGCTTATATTGAAACCAATCTGCAAAAACAGCAGGTTGTGGAATGTGCCACTTTATGATGTAATAGTCTGGCTAAACACCGCCTCCACAGAAGAAGATCAACGCCTGCATCGCTGCCTGTTTAGACTCGACCACTGATTCGTGCACGTAGTGTAAATAACGAGAGAGGCAAACGCTGGTCTACGCAGAAACCAAACGGTAAAGTTGTGGAAAAACACAGTCTTTGCATCGCCTTCCTTCTGATCCCAACGTTAGGAAAGAGTGGATTAACTTTATTTTTAATGAAGATCCAGACCGCATCAGTAAAAACTTGGTCCTTTGTACACTTCATTCTGCCGTGGATTCGTTTACAAACAAAGCACAATTTGACGCTGCTGACGATGAAAAAGACGATGCTGTGCCGACTATATTGGATCCGACAATAACGTCGCAACACACAAGTGTAACGTGGTCACTATGGATTTGTCTGTTAACAACTGAGTATTTATGTGTTTTTAACCTAAATCACATTAGCGTCCATCTGTGAAGGATGTATACACAACTGTTAGCCAATCACAGCAGTGGCCATTTAATTCTGAGTTTACAATTCACCACGTCTCTTCTGGTAAAATAGCACAGAAAATAGCTCATTACTTCTACATTATGATGTTTTTTGATGTACAAATCTTTATAACATTATAAGTGGACCTCAGAGAACAGTAAAAAAAAAGTATAAAAAAGGCAGTTCATGACCCCTATTAGCTCATAAGAGCAAGTTGTTCATTAATTGAACTACACAGACATTCTGTATGTTTGCGTGCAGCACGTGAGGAACACTTGATAAATTATGTTAAGGGGGTACACATCAAAATATTTTAATTTCAGTCATATAATAGGAATGAAAGAGGTCCACCGTATCTTACAGTACAAAGATCCACCCACTTTGGAGATGTTTGGTTCTTTTTCTGAGAATCTGAGAACAAAGAAGTTTCAATTTACACTCCATTTAATCTCGTTGTCTGAGAGAAACAATTAAGATTTAAAAGAGACCTCATTTGGGATTTTTCCTTCCTACCCTCCACATGTTCACATTCCACAATCATAACCCACACAGTCCAGACTTTCATAGACCATTGATTCTCTCCAAACTGTTGTATCCATCTTAACTCTCACTTTATCCATTACTTAGATGTCCGCTACATGCATTACCATATAAACTCTGACCACCGTTTTGCTGAAATAGCCTTTGACTCAGTTCACAATGACATCAAGGGGAAAACACATAACTATGACCATCCTTGCAACCATGGCTACAGCCATACCCCTCACTGACAATCCTTGGTCCTGTGAGAGACATTCTGGTCTAATGGGACCGGTGAGGTGCTTAGAGAGCCAGCAGAGCTCTATGGTTGAAATGCAACCACATTTGAGCAGTATCACGGACTTTTGCCAGGCAACGAACCCACAGCTAAGCAAAGTTTGATTTATAAATACCAATGGAAGTGAGACAAACATGAGATTCTCCATCAGGCAGCAGTGTGTGTGTGTGTGTGTGTGTGTGTTAGTGTATGTTGTACAGACACACCCATGTTTCGAAAGGCTTCAGTAGTTGATGAAGGGGTAGTGTGTAGACGAAAAGGGATTTAAAAAAAGAAGATTCCTAACATTCAAAATGTGATGGTATGATGGCGTAGGCAGTTACATTTTATAGATTGCCTTCACTCTGTATGAAGTCAATCTACAAGATCTAATTTTCCTTAATGGAATTGTTCACAAAAAAATAATCCCGTCATCATTTACTCACCCTCATGTCATTCCAAATTCATGATTTTTCTTTTGTGGGACACAAGATAATTACAATGAAGATTAGAGCTTTTAAACTTTAAATAATGCCCAAATTTAAGATGCTTTTCTCTGAAAATCTTGACATCCACCCTAGCTCTTTTTGGCACATTTATTAATGTTCATGAGAGAAGTAGTGATGTCCAGTGGTTCATTGATCCATTTCCAGTGGTTAACAGAAAATTGTCAGCGAATAATTACACAAATTTCGGTTCTCTCTCATGCAAAGCTATTGTGCAACTTTACAAAATTTTAAAGGTACTTTCATGGTGCTTTTGCATTCTTTTTGAAGCTTGACAGGAAAAAAGTGAGCCACAAATAAGTGGCCAGCACAGTCTTCAGTATTTCTCCTTCTCTGTTCCACAGAAGAAGGTAGTGAATAAAGTAGTTGATTTTTGGAACGACGTGGGTGAGTAAATGAAAGTTTTTTAAGGACACTATAAACATATTTTGCAACATGGAAGTAAGCTGTTTTCTGTGAATGTGCTAAAAGTTTGATTAATACATTTCCCAAAGTCTGCAAAATGTCCATGACTAAAGTCAGTAATCCCTGTACTAAGGGATTTTTCCCCTCACACACACACACAGCTGCCATAGGATCATGGCAAACTTCTCTTTATCTCTTGCCTTTCTCTCTCACTATCCAAACTCCTAACTTTAACTTCAAGTTAAAATCCTTCATAGTTCTGTTTCCTGCTGTTTCACTAATTCTCACTAAGTTTCCCTGTCTCTTTTCATTCGGCCTTCTCACTCCTTCATCCTAGTTTATCCCAGCCCCCCCCTTGTAGACATGCAGGCCGGGCCTCTACTTGCATTTCATTCATCACAGTCTGTATGTAATCGATTAAAGAGATGATGTCGCCCTCCTCTGTGCCAGCAATCAGGCCTTCACGCTTTATATTTCATTATTTATTAAGCAAACCCGCTGCTTCCCTTTCTGGGTCTACAGACTGCGCTTACGCTCTCCAAAAATATTTATGTGCATGACATCAGCCTCGTCCTTTTCGCTCTCCAGCACACATTCTGTGAGATGCTGTGGGGCAGAATAAGGTATGTCCTGTGTATAGACACACAAACCTCAGAAGAGGCAGAGCAGGGGTGTCTTGTGCTGTGGTGTGGGAAATCATAGAAACTCCATAAACAATAACGGCAGCCAGTGATAGCCGTGTCTGCGTACATGTGTTAGTCATTTTGTATGGCTTTGTGTGTGTGTGTTGTTCTTCATTAGGGGGGTCTGCATGGTTTTACTTCACACCAGCACATAGATCTCCTCACCATGTGTGCTGATAACTGCCATTCTGTGCCTGTTTGACGACTCTCCACGGCTCTTTGGTCTGCCCCGGAATTCAGCAGAGGAACATATAGCACTGAGGTATGATAAACCTGCTGTAAATGCTTTCAACAGTTGTGATGTGTGACAAATTGAAGACATGGTCCTCGGTGGTGTAAAAATAGTTTGTTCTCCCAGGATCCCTTTTATGGCGAAACACCTCAAGTTCCAAAGGTCAATGATGTGCAAGACTGTCTACAGTAAATAAAAGAAATCTAATACATTTTTTAAAATGCCATTTAGAAATGTACTCTTTCTCAATGTACTGGTGGTTTTGGTAATATTTTATACCATTTACAGGTTTAAATTTAATGACTGAAAATGTCATATGGTGTAACCATCAAGTAAAAAAAAATTCTTCACACCTTGAATACACATCTTAATCATTCTTTTTTTATCAAAAGTTTTTCAAATATATATCATTGGTTTAAAAGTATTTTTGCAGATATCATAATATATTAATTCATAAATATCATTAAGGTTTTTGTGAGTCATGCCACCCAGGTCAAAAAAAGTTCTAATTATCTGATATCTGACACTAACACAGTCAAGAGGGCCCCTGTATGATATAATTTCCTGTTGTTGTTTTTTGGGGTTTTTTTGGTGGACAAAAGTTTTTCAAGGTATTGATTGACAGTAAAACAGTTAACAATAGCCATTGACTTCTATAGTATTTTTTCCATACTATGGAAGTCAATAGCTACCGTCAAATTTTTGGTTACCAACATTCTTCAGAATATCTTTTGTGCTCAACAGAAAAAAGAAACTCATACAGGTTTGGAACAACTTTTTTTTGTGTGTGGGGGGGGGTCTGTTTGAGTATAGAAGATTCAAGTCATCGTATGAAGGAAATTAATTTATTTTCAATTAAATTAATTAAGACAAAAAATGTCATGCCATTTACCCAGGAGCCACACAGTGTAGTTCAACATGATGGAAAAAAAAGTTACAAAGGAAAAAGAGAAACCCCAAATAATATTTAACTTCCCATTGTAATTCTAATTAATAAAGGTACTTTCCAAGAATGGAAGTGGAAGGTCGCAAGCTTAACCCCATGGGACAAACCCATGACCTTCCAGAGGCCTGCGCTTTCCATGGTATAGGTCCTTTACAAAGGAAAAGTGCATGGAGACTGAGGGGGTGTTGAAGATGGACGAGGGACTGTTAGTTTCCTGTCTGCTCACCATGGACTGAGTCACACTGAGCTTGTTATGACTCTGCTGCTTGTCCTCTTGCCCCCCTCTGAAAGCTGCCACTACACAAATACCCATCAGCATATTACCCATATCAGGCCAGTAAATGTTCAAGTGGGCTTCTTACTGTATATGATTCATCTGTGTTATAGCTGGTCACCAAGGCTCACACCAAGTGCTTAAGTTTTGCCAAATGTGGAAAAGCCACAGAGGTTTCCACACACGTCTAGTGGACTTCCTGTCCTAATCTCCCATGGAAAATCTTGTTTTTGAAGACGCAGTGCTAGTGTGTACTATGTCAGAGACGACTTTCTATTTATGTGCTTGTTTTGGATGCAATGTAACTCCCAGACTTTGCTTATTGCTTTATTGCCCAAAAAAATATACAAAATGTCATATCACGTCCCATTTAAAAATGACAAATTGCATTAGAGAGCCCTCCTCACACAGTCTCAAAAAAAGAAAGTAAATGGCATTCGTTTGTTCTTTTGTAAATTACATTCAGTTGTTCATCAGCAATTCATATACTTCATTCGATGATGCTGAATAGCTTTTATTATCCTTTCTGAATCCCAAAGACAAACCACTGGATTCAACATTCTATATACATTTGTTTTTAGAGGAGACGAGCCATACTATCCAGCATAAATCATAGTCTTCCTCATCTCTATGTTCCATTGCACACAAATCTCATACATTATTCCAGCAAGTTCCCTGGGGTCACATGATGAAGTTCTATTGCATGTCACATCACTAACTAACTCTAACAATGGCTCTATTGACTGGTGCAGACTCCATGTGGGACTCTAAATGCTAAAGCGCTAAGAGGTTGGCTTTAAAGGAGTGTCCAGATGCTAATTTATCACATAAGTATGTTGACCTTTGTTCTTTGCTCAGCTTCCCATTGGGGGTGGAAACAACATGGCTTTGTCAGGCAAGTCAAGGTCAGGGGATGTACTGAGGATAGAAAGAACCTGAGAGAAAGAGAAAGAGGGATTCCTGCTTCTCAGTAGATCACTTTGTGTCTTAACATGTAGCAACTTGTCCCTTGTTGAATGGACTTTAAACATCTGTAATTACAGTATTCTCCAGGAAGGATATGGAGTGGTGTGTTTCCGCTTTTTACGTCCCCTGAGAACCTCCTAGTAGCTCATCTTACCCAATTATGTCTCTCTTTCGTAGATATGTTCTTGCTTGTTTTTTTAATTCTTCACCCTTTGCACTACTTTCTGCATTTGTAATCCAATAGCTTATTGTAGCGGTTTACCGTAAAGACCATTTGATTTCTCCCAGTGTTCCCTGAAAAAGCTTTAGAGTTCTCCTAAATCAGGCATGGAGTTCCCAGCCTGAGGATGCTCAGTTGAGTTCCTTCCCACACTGAGTTCAAACATTAGGTAATGCAAGGGTATTGTTTAAAGTAGACATTAAATTGATCATTTTGATCTTCTTTATGAAAGGCGGACAACCGGAAATGTTGTCCTGGGACCTCTGACTAGGGAGAATCCACTAAATGCGTCATTACACTATCTAGCGAGTTGGGGCAGGGGACCCTGATATTAAGCGATGGCCCTGCAGTTGACTGCTCCTAGTAGGGTATTTTGTGAGAAGTGCTTATTTATTTTAATAAAATGCATGTGCTCATTTACCTCTCCATGGGAAAAGCACAAAGCAAATAATTAAATTTTCCATTAACTAAAGCAAGTGGAAAACACTGATTAGCTTTCTTTTGAAGCCTGAATAAAAGCCACAAAGTCTCAAACCAAATAAAGGGGTAATTTATCAAAAAATGATTTTACTCACCATCATGTAGTTCCAAACTGGTATGACTTTCTTACTTCTGTGGAACACAAAAGAAGATCTTTTGATAATGCCTCAGTTTTTGCTCACACAGTGAAAGTCAATGAGGTCCAACACCACAAATGCCCATTTACTTTTTATTGTATGGAAAATAATAGCTGAAACAGTCATCAAAATATCTTATTTTATATTGCACAGAAAAAAGAAAGTCATACAAGTTTGGAACGACATGAGAGTGAGTAAATGATGACAGAGCTATTGTAACTATCCCTTCAAAAGAATACTTCACCCAAAAATGAAAAATAACTGAAAATGTTTTCACCCTCAGGCAATCCAAGATGTAAATGAGTTTGTTTGTTCATCAGAGCACATTTAGAGAAATTTCACATTACATCACTTGCTCACAATGGATCCTCTGCAGTGAATGGGTGCCGTCAGAATGAGAGTCCAAACAGCTGTTAAAAACATCACAATAATCCACACAACTGTTAAACACAGAAAAAAGAAAGTCATACAAGTTTGGAACGACATGAGAGTGAGTAAATGATGACAGAGCTATTTTAACTATCCCTTCAAAAGAATACTTCACCCAAAAATGAAAAATAACTGAAAATGTTTTCACCCTCAGGCAATCCAAGATGTAAATGAGTTTGTTTGTTCATCAGAGCACATTTAGAGAAATTTCGCATTACATCACTTGCTCACAATGGATCCTCTGCAGTGAATGGGTGCCGTCAGAATGAGAGTCCAAACAGCTGTTAAAAACATCACAATAATCCACACAACTGTTAACAATCCGTTAAAATCTTCTGAAGTGAAAAGGTTGCATGTTTCTAATAAACTAATCAATCATTAAAGTTTAACAACTTAAATTACATTCTGGATGGCCTGAGGGTGAGTACATTTTCAGCAATTTTTTTTTATTTTTGGGTGAACTCTTTTAATGCATGACTGAAGATGCCTCCTAAACCACTTTAAAATGAGCTTTTTATACAAAGTAAAGTCTAATTTGCACTCTAAAATTTCTAAGCTTGTTTATCACTGGAAATGCCTCTGTGGCAGAAGTGGGACAGGAACTTGATAAGGTGGAGTCCCTGTTAAAAACATCACAATAATCCACACAACTGTTAACAATCCATTAAAATCTTCTGAAGTGAAAAGGTTGCATGTTTCTAATAAACTAATCAATCATTAAAGTTTAACAACTTAAATTACATTCTGGATGGCCTGAGGGTGAGTAAATTTTCAGCAATTTTTTATTATTTTTGGGTGAACTCTTTTAATGCATGACTGAAGATGCCTCCTAAACCACTTTAAAATGAGCTTTTTATACAAAGTAAAGTCTAATTTGCACTCTAAAATTTCTAAGCTTGTTTATCACTGGAAATGCCTCTGTGGCAGAAGTGGGACAGGAACTTGATAAGGTGGAGTCCCTGTTGAGCTTGCCTTGCATTTTCATCCCCTGGGGAGCAGCAATTGCAAACCAAGCCATTTGATGGGTGTGATTTTTGTCATCAGAGTTTAGGGGCTATAGACACACGTCAGTCTTTGTCATAATGGAGGATTATAGTGGTTGAAGTCAGTGGGTTCTTCCAAATCAACTTATGACAATGAGAATCTAAAGTAACTTCATGGTACTCACTTAAACATGCGTCGAAGACTGATACGGAAAGTAAGAAATTGTTGAATAAAGTCTTTATTTTTGTTTTCTTTGTGCACATAAAGTATTCTTGTAGCTTCATAAAATTAAGGTTGAACCACTATGTTACATGGACTATTTTAACAATGTCCTTACTACCTTTCTGGGCCTTGAATGTGTCAGTTGCATTGCTGTCTATGGAGGGTCAGAAAGCTCTCGGATTTCATCAAAAATATCTTAATTTGTGTTCTGAAGATGAACGAAGGTCTTACGGGTTTGGAAAGACATGAGGGTGAGTAAATAATCATTTTAATTTTGGGGTGAACTGTCCCTTTAAAACAGGACACGCCAGGTCAATAGGGTAAAACATTTAACTAAAGGGGCTT